ACGCAAATAGATAGATAAATAGATAGATTATGGACAGACAGTGATAGATAGATAGATAGATAGAACATGCTTTTAAGTAATCGTCATAGTTCTTTCTTAGCTAAATATCCTAGATTACTCATGCCTAAAATATGAACACTGCAATTGCAATATTACTTAAACATCACTGTCATTCATCATGTTAGCTCTCTTTGTAATTTTTTTAATTTTTAATCATTTAAAAAACAGAAATCTTTCTTCGATGCGAGCATGAATTTAATGATAAAGATAAAATTTGACATTCACTCATGCAGAAAATATAAATAAAGAAATAGCAAAATTACTTAAATATCGCCGTCACAGGAGAAAGCCGAAAATATAACACGAAATTCGAACATTAATTAAATATGATCGAAGAACTTTAATGTTTATAATATTTGTCAACGTTGACAAAATTATTCCATCAAAATTGGTATGAATAGATAAGTAATATGGCGGAAGATTTGGAGTGGGTCTTAAACATGTTAATTAACGATTGAAATATACGTAAATTATAAAAAGTTGTAAATACTCCAACGTGTGTGCAAAATCTGAGCGAAATTAATACTCCGGATCCAAAGGAAGTTCTCGTTCTGCTTACATAAAGAAGGTTGCTGTAATTTAATACATACAGCTTTGATAGATAAATTGAAAGAGCAAACAGTTTATAGATGAATTGAAAGAGCATATATATATATATAAATATATAGAGAGAGAGAGAGCGAGAAATAATTATGAGGATTTGAGATAATTATAATGAAGTAATTCATCGAATCTAGAAAAAACCTCAACAGAATGCAGAAAGCACTGGATGGCCGTTTCGTTCTATATTTCGGACTCCTCAGCAGTGCGTAACCAATACCGAGAATTGAAACCCGAACAGTTACGATAGGGGGAAACGTCATATCAACTGTACAAACGGGACTCGGTGAGGAATTTGGTAACGAATCAGACTCTATATAGCGCCACTCGATCACATATTCCGTGATGGAACTCATCCAAGTTTCTCTTTTACCCATAGGACTGTGACCTCATGAGCCACGACTACTATCACCAAGCCGCTCCATCCAGAGCATTAGAAGTCGGTTCAAGCAAGGATATACAAGTGATAGAAATTAGGAGGATTTGAGATAATTATAATTAAGTAATTCATCGAGTCTAGAAGAAATATATATATACAGCCATGGCCAAAATTATGGAACACCTATAAAAATTTGAGATAATAGTTTAAACCTACGTATTTCAAGGTTAAGAATCGTACAGTGAACAATTGAGAGCAAATGTAAAATATTTAACAGTAGATTGTAGTATTTTTTTTTTTTTTTTTGCTTTAAAGCCTCTCTCAAGAGCTTTAGCTGAGTTTCGTACTAAATTCATTCCAATATTCAAAATGATTTATTCTCATACTAAAGGTTGTTTTGTAATTTTCGGGTAATATTTGATTCCTACCAGTGTATATTTAATTGAAAATGCCTCCAAAGAAGCAGCTTTCAGAGATTAAAAGGGCACAAATTGTTGCTTTATCTGGTGAAGGATATTCTCAGGTAGAAATTGCCAGGAAGATGGAATGTTCAAGAAAGGGGGTTCAAACAACGATTAAAAGATACAAGGAAACAAAGTCTTTCAAAAACAGAAAAGGACAAGGCCGTAAAAAGTCTACAACCGCCAGGGAAGACAGATCTTTGAAAAGAGCATCGCTTGCAGATAGGAGGAAAAGTTCTTCAGAGCTTGCTGCTGAACTTTGGGAGGATGCAAACAAAAACATATCAGCTCGAACAGTGAGAAGAAGGTTATTAGAAGTGGGATTAAAAGGATGCAAAGCCAGGAAGAAGCCATACTTGTCTCAGGCCAACAAGAAAAAATGACTGGAATTTGCAAAAAACCATGAAAATTGGACACCTGATGATTGAAGCAAAATTGTTTGGTCTGACGAAAGTAACTTGAGGTAAGTTAACAGCTTCTATTTCCTAAACTTTGGATGTAATAATTGAAATTTTTATGTGAATACACATCCATAACATTTATTCAAAAATTGTAACAAATTCTTTTTTTTTCATCAGATTTTTGGCACCCCTGGAGCGGTTTATGTTCGCCGTAGGGAAGGAGAGGCATTTCATCCTGATTGTGTGGTTTCAACTTTAAAATTTGGAGGAGGAAGCGTAATGGTTTGGGGCTGCATGGCTTCTTCAGGCACTGGAATGTTGTACACATGTGAGGGCAGAATGAACTCCACAATTTATACTAACATGTTGGACCAGGTTTACCGAACCTCTTTGACTAAAATATTTAATAATATCATTCCAAGTGATGTAATCTTCCAACAAGACAATGCTCCATGCCATACGTCAAAAGTTTCAATCGGTTGGTTTGAGAAAAAAGGGATTACAGTGATGAAGTGACCCCTCCAATCCCCAGACCTAAATCCCATTGAAACTTTGTGGTCCCATTTAGTGAAAAGAGTGAGAATGCTCAAATGTTCATCAAAAAAAGAATTAGAGGCGAAACTTCATGAAGATTGGCAGAAAATAGATCCTACCACCTGCAACAACTTAGTCAATAATATGCAAAAACGAATAAAAGCTGTTATAAAAGGCAAAAAGGAGGACATACCAAATATTGATTGTTGTTATTAATGTTTACTCCACTATTCTTAACCTTTAAATATATAAGTTGGAATCATAATTTCGATTTTTCATTGGTGCTCCATAATTTTAGCCAAGGCTGTATAAGTGTATATAGTAATATATATATATTGTATATAATAATATACCGTCCTGGGTAAGACGATAAACTACGTCCAGCAGCAAGGCCTCTGGTCAGGAGGTTTTGAGGAGCATGGAACCACCTCTTAATTGCTGGTGTTCCCAGGTCCACTCTGACCCGGAGTGGTAGCACCTGTTAGAGTCCCAGCTATGGACAAATAGTTTAACCCGAAACTGAGGTAAAAAAAAAAAACATTATAAAAATGTAAAAACAGGTTTTAATACCAGAAATACTTTGTAAAACTTATTACTAGAAATAAATTTTTGAAGAAAAAAAATATTACGAGCAATAAGTTTTTGAAAAAATAATATTACCAGCTGTACGTTTTTGAGGAAAAAATATTAACAGAAGTAGATTTTTGACAAAACAAAAACATTACAGGAGGAAAAAAAAAGTTGTTGGCATTAAATGATCCATTGAGGTTGATATACCGTTAAAGAAAACAAACAAACAATATAATAATATATATATGATATATATAATTGTGTATATATATATATATATATATATAGGATTGAGGAATCGCAGCGCCGAGTTCGAATTCCAGTCGAATCCATTATATTCACTTACATGCTAATACCCTTGGGAAAGGTATGAATCCTCTTCCTCTCCCTCCAGCTATGGGTAAAATAGCAGGACAGACTGGGTTCTATAGCCTTGGATGGCAACTGGTCTAGGAGAAGGACAACTCTGAATTCAAAACCTGCGGAGGGTCGTTTGGGAACTTTGTGGCATTCGGTGCACCAGGTCTCTGTATTCGTCCCTTCAAAAAGTGTGGATGGTCCTGCACGAAGCCTTCACCACTATAATCAAAATCTCATGTGCCGGTGTCGGGCTGTCGGTTTCCTGGAAACTGATCTGCTTGACCCTCATACGTCGAATATACATATAATATTAGTGGTAAATATGCATATGCAAAATATATAGATATATATATACATAGGTGCATACACAGATATGTATATTTTTTGAATAAAAAATTCCGAGAGGATAGAATCCAGGTAGAACTCAATGTCCAGGACAGAGTAAGGATATAATAAAAAGGCTTAAACTCTAATATTCCATGGTCATAATTTATTCCATTGGAATCGTAAATACGATCCAATTCATCAGATCTACAAATTCAAAAAGAAAACAGAAAAAACAACTCCGGAAATAAAAACAGAATTTAGAGAGAGTGTAAGTATGAGGGGTAATAGACTAGAGAGCGAAGGAGGTTAAACCTTAACAGAGTGAATTTTAGGGGAGGTGAGTGGAAGGGGTTTAAGTAAAAGAAATATGAATGTTGTCGGATGTCTAATGCATAAAGATACATTTCGTGGTGACATACACACACCATAGACGATTTAATGTTGAAGATCAGAATAAGAGGGAGGGAAAGACGAAGTGGGGGAGAGAGATGGGGCGAAGGAAAGTAAAATTGAACTACATTTACTGAAAGGTCCGCTGTGTAATTGAGAAAATTTGACAAATTTAATATCGACTACAGGTTACAAATCAAATATAAACATATAAAAAATAAATATAACGATTATCCAATCTAGCAAGGACCTATATTTTCATGTTCAAAAACACATGCGAATACACACATACACAATAACAATTATATATATATATATATATATATATATATATATATATATATATATATATATATATTGTATATAATAATATATTGTGTATAATATTATATATATTATTATATATATATATTCCCCTGCAAATACCAAAAGGTTGAAACCAAGGTAGCGTAATAGGCTGATTTCCTAATTTTCCATACTTAAAAGCACTACAGGTTAATTATCTTCTTACTGAGCACTTTTAATATTACTGTTTCCTGATTTTAATTCAACTCTGATCATTAATTTCTTTATTATTATTATTAACATATTATATTGCATGTAAACATATGGTTCTGTTGATAACATTTCTTTCTGTCACGTGGTCATGTATGACGTCATAGAACAGCATTACGAATTTACGATCTGCGTCTGTTATTCTGCGATCGTTATCGTCGCATAGCAAACTTCTATGTAAACATAAAACGATGTCATCTTTTATTGTTTATATCTCTGTTGTAATGTCCACATAACAACATCTGATGATGGCTCATGTGAGCCGAAAGCTTAAATCGATGACCAATATAATAAAGAAATATCCAAATGTTGGGCAGTTTTTGTTTTTATTTTCTTTTGAAACTAAAGCTACTATACGACGCTTGGAAAGGTTCATGACAAAATATAATAGACATTCGTTGTCTGTTATATCTAACACTAATTGTTTGAAC